CCCCCCCGCGTTGGAATTTCGAAAAATCCTTTCTTAGTGTGCGTTTCCATGACGTACCCTAACTGTGTACCAAATTTCACCTCTTTAGGTTAAGCGGTTTGCTCTGGGCGATGATGAATCAGTGAATGAATGAGTGAGTCAGTCAGGACAAGCAATTTTATATATATAGATTTTTATATGCAGGGTACTAAGGTCAATCAAAATTTTGATTTATTCTTGAGCTCTAAAAATATGACGAAAGTTCTTACAACTCCTACCTTTCGTAACTCTAGAATTTCGTAAGTCTGGCAATACCCACTGACTTTTCTATATATATTTATTATGCTGTTTGATGATGCCATTCTATAAGTGTCTGTTGAGAAAATGTAGTGTAAATAAAGAATTGATCAATAATATTTCATCTATATTTTGATGATAATTTCTAAAAAAATTTCCTGAATACTAAAAAAGGTTTAAATGTTAGAGCAACTGAATGTCGCTAATACTTATAACTTTTACAGTTTACCAGTCATATATATATAATGATCAAATGTATATATAATGAGCAAAAAAAAAAAGAATCTTAGAAAGCAGGATGTAGTTTAGTTCTTTCAGTTTGAATATTTCCTAAATTTAAATTTTTTACTGAAAGAAAAGAAAACGCTTTTGAAATCTTGAAATTCAGTTTAGTTTTTATATAATTTCAAAAATGTGTGTATCAAATACAGTAAAATATTTTAAAATGTGATTTAATATTAAACTACAGGTTAGTTCTGAAAGCTGCTTCCTCTATAATTTTCAGATTGGTGAATTTGCTGAATACAGTAGAGCGTCGATTATCCGAAAGTCAATAATCGGAAACGTCAATCATCCAAAAGAATTTCAGTAGACAAATTTAAATTTTCGCCAGTGCTGTGGCGCTGCAATCTTAAACTATGTGTTGGGCTACTCAAATATTTTACATTTTTGATACTAAATTAACTTCTAAAATATAATTTTTTATTGTTTTTATATTTTTCAATATATTTATTTTGTTCGTATAAAATAAAAAAATAATTTTTAACGATAAAATAGTTATCGTTAGGCTTAACATCGACGAAAATTCAACGCGAAGCGACACGCAACGGATGAAAAAGTCAAGACGGGAAAAATTAATATATTTTTTCGCACATAATCTGTTATCCGAAACATTGCTCTTTCGAATACCCCCAGGCCCCAACTGATTCGGATAATCGACGCTCTAGTGTATATACAATAAAGTATTGTTGTACGCGTATAGTAGGATTAGGATTATAAATGATTGGGCTAAGGCAATGTAACAGGAGGGTAATCTGCATCCTCTCAAGAGGAATATTTATGGGAAACTGGCTTCTATATAGGTGTTTAATACCGCCATCTGTTAACACAGTGTAATACTGCAATACTACTTTTAAACAGTTTTGATTAGATCGTGTACAATGTGTATTTTCATTGGCACAAGTGCCAAATAAGATAAACTGTGCTACCCAGCTGTATAAAAGTAAGGAAATATTAAAGCAAATAATAAAAGTAAGGAGGTTAATTATTAGTACCCTACCATCATTTAAGATACACAAATGTTCGAGGTCTGTACCAGCGACCTGTTAGAAAGAACTAGCAATTGTAATCGATAAAATTCTTTTTAAATATTAATCAAATATTACAAATAAAATAAAATAACATGTTGAACGGCCACTGTAAGAAAACTTAATAAAAAATTTAATACAGTGAACGTTTGTTCATTTGTCANTCATCTTTTCCAATATTCCATTCCGAATACTTTCATTTTAATAACTAAGGATCTTATCTTTCGAAAAAGCACAAGGTAAGATTGAAATTAAAGATGTGCTTATAAGTAATACACGAAAGAGCAACCGTAACTTGGTATGTGCCAAAAGAAAAAAAAGGCAAAAAATAAAATTTTGCACAGAAACACATGAAAAACTAGTTACGACACTGCAGGTAAATAAGCAATCCAAGACCATAGCCTGTTTCGTGGCCTGCTTGCCAGTTAAAAGTACTTAAATTTAGGCTATTAAATTATATAGATAAGAACTTTATTATTATTTAAGATTGCAGATAAAATTATTTATATACAAGTAGTTTAAAAATAAGAAACCAATTTTAAGGCTACATCTAAGAATTTATTCTGCAACCAGTTGAGTAACTTTCCCTACAGTACATTTAAAACTGTTGTGACGCCATCTTATTTGATATTTTATGAAAATCTTTTATATTAATAATTAAAAAATGAAAACTGTTCAATGATCAGTTTTGACCTATCTCTATACTTTCCCTCTGTTAAATACAACAGTGGAGAATGTAATAATGAAAAAATAGATCAAAATATTAAGTTTTATTTATTTTGAATTTCTGAATATGACATTTTCTTTCTTCGTCGGTAGGACATTCTGGATGTTTTTGAAGAAGCTTCAACTAAAACAAGTAATAAATTTTATTATTCAAAATGATAAATACGTAATTTTTCTTCCAATAGATATAGCTTTCGTGTGGCATGCCCTATGGATTTACATCGTTATCCCCTTGATATTCAAGACTGCGTATTTAAAATTGGTTTGTGTAAGTAAATTTAATAATTGATTTAACGTGTATTTACTATGAATCATGATAATGGGGTCTAATAAAAATGTAATAAATTATATAAAGGCCGGCCACAGATATTTTAAAATATACGGAGAAAGCCATATATCATACAAACAGTCCTATTCCTTTATTTTCTATTAAAGCTAAATAATTGCTATGTAATTTGGCAGGTGGCAGGCTGCAAAATTGCTATCTGTTATTAAATATAATAGACCGTCCTGAGTCATACCTCGTACCAAATTGCTTAGTATTTATTTATCATTAATAGCCCAAAAAACGAATTCAGCTTTCCGTTTGAAAGAATTATCGAGTTATTTGTATTTATTATAGAAAGTCATATATTTGAGTAATTAAGAGTGTAAAATTTTTCTTGCAGTAAACTATTTTTTAGTTGAATAAGTACAACAATGTATTTATAGTATAAAATTTTACTTTAAAACTTTATATTTGTGTTCTATATTGAAGGTATTCCCGCTCTATTATGCAATTTTTTAGTAAAAAATACAGCAGAAAAGGTACGCCTGGAATGGTGTGATGTTGACAGTAGTCCATGTAAGTACTTGGGACCAAGTATTGCACTAATGGAAGACATTCAACCATTGAAACACGAGATGAAGGTACCCAAACCTCGTAGCAAAATCGAAGTTTGGACGACTGGAAAGTTTTCTTACAAATTACTTATAAAACTGTGTTATTATTAGTTTTATAGAGATAATTCTTTTTGTTTACAGGTAATTACAGTTATCTGTATGCGAAATTTACTTTCATTCGGCGATTAACTGGTAGTATACTCAACGTTTACTTGCCTAGTACTCTAGTAGTAACTATGTCCTGGCTATCATTCTGGTTAGATGTGAATGCAGTTCCCGCTCGTGTTACGCTCGGTGTTACCTCTCTTCTTACCATCATCACTCAAATGCTGCAGTCTAGATCGTACACTCCGCCAGTGGACTATGTAAAAGCTGTGGATATTTGGCTGCTCGCATGTATGTTTTTCGTCACAGCTTCGTTGATAGAATACGCATTTGCTCTTCAATCTGTGGAATTTAAAGAAAAAGTAAGTTTAAATGTATTAGTTATTTGAGAGATATATCAAAATGATTATGAAATTGGGCACAAATTATTGACAGTAGCGCACAATAAAGAAAATTCAGCTCTAATGTATGTGCTCATTGTACCCTACTACTAATGAGGTAAAATAATAATGCCTGTGCTATTTGTCGCGATCTCTATATTTTCGTAAATTGCGGATTTCATATCCATATTTAAACAGCAAAGTTTTTCAGAAACACTGCAAACACTTTACATCCTTTAGAGTAACGATGCGAAAACAGACAAAATAAATAAATTGGTAGATGGATGAAAATAGATGGATGGATAAATAAACTGATATTCACTGTGAAGATGTTTTCAGTTTCGTTAAAGGCTGACAAGAGGAAAAAAAACCAAGCCTGTATCTTTCGAGTCTGAGAGTGACAGGGTTTGAGCCTCGCAGTCTGCCTGAGTAGGATTTAGATTCGAGCCATAAACTGTAGAATAAAATTTTAAATTATATTTGTAAATAAAATAAATTTAATTTTAATCAATGTAATTTAAAGCGCATAAAAGTGAAAGAGAATTATGATAAATCGAAAGCGTAATGTCACCACAAGGTACAAAAGGTAAAATGCGTAGCCACAAGATCTATAATCGCTATCCATTGTTCAGTCAGATCGCCTATATTGTGCAGCAGTCCAGATGTAAATCGGAAAACTCGTAATCATCAGACTCTTAAAATGCGTGTTCATATAAAATATTGCCAGAATGTTGAAACGTCTGATAAAAACTACTATAACGAGCTCGCGCTGTATAGAAAAATCCAGCAAATTGTTCCCCCAGAAACCTACCAATTGTTAAACACAGAAAAAAATCCTAGAAATTTTTCTGCATTTCACCACGTTTCCACATTTCCGAGTACAAAAATGTAAAAATATTGAGTGTGACTTTTTAATCGATCGCCGTACTTTTCCTGTGTTATAACAGATGGAAAAGGAAAAGAATTTTCTGGGATTGTTTGAAGTCATGAGAAAATCTCTGCAGCAAATATGTGTTTATGTGCGTGCGTAAGTGTATAGATATGCAAAAAATAGAAATTTTAAGAATGATTGTCGGTTTTAATTTTATGATCCTTTTCACGATATCTGTCAAAATTATGCATTTAAAATACTATTTGTGCAATTAAATAATTAAGTATATTCCATTTCTTTCTATAAAACTTTTTTTAAAACAGAATATGCTTTTGTGTGCAATACATAAAAACGTTGCAGAAATAATCAATGGATTCTCAACCTCATATAATTTTCAAATCGGATTGGTACGTTTAGCGCCATCTGTTAGCGTAATATATTATTTACTGATCGATTTCTGTTAGGTTAGGTGTTTCCTAACAGAAGACTCCTGTAGAATAAACGGCCTCAGGCGTTGGTATGAAGATAAATAAATAAATATACAAAAAAATATTAAGACAAGGCACGAAAATGATCTGTACAGCTTTATGTACGAAAGTTCTTAAAAATTTATCTATAAGTTGGCTACACTATAAAGCATGGACTCTTCCAAATAATACAATGCCTAAATCTTAAAGAAAAAATAGAAGACCTATTTTGTCACACTCGGACTTACAGAAATGTGTTTGTTTTATCAGCAACAAACAAAAACGAAAAAAATAAAGCAATCTTATAAGGTGAAATAAATTGCTTACAGGAATGCATAATAGAGAGGCTGAAAGGGCAATTATTCCTCTTAGTTGTCTGGGAATAGTTTTAAGGACAGCATCTCCAGACGACTGTAATGGAAACAATATAGACCAGAATTTGTTAAAAGTTAAATTTTTCATCAGATATATTTATAGTATTTATTTACACTAAAATAAAAAGCAAACGATTACATTTAATAACTTTAAATTATTAAAACTCAATTTGCATCATTGACAATTCCAAGAGCAAACACTAATTTTTTTGCACTAATCGTTCAGCAAAAGAGTTGCAGAGAAGCAGAACTGCGACTTACATTTCGTTAATTTCTGAAATGTTCTAGCAACGTCTATAAATATGTTTATAAACCTGGTTCTAGAAGCTTCTAGTTGCGACGCGTAATACACGAGATGGTTCCAGGCTTTCTAGCCCACTCACTTGTAGTATAGAAGGCCTGACTTACCAAAAGACAAATTAACGGATATAGAAGTTAAAAAATGACCTGTTTAACGAAACAAATATTTTTTTCTGCCATGTGAAAATCATTGGCAATTATTGACAATTCTAAGCATTATTCAATGCACTACATATTTATCAGCATGCTTCGAAGTCTTTAGAGAATTCTCATGATCGTCCTACCTCCAGTGGACGCCAAGCTCGGTTTGTGATCTGCTTCTGTCCCATAGATGATAGTGCTAAATGTGTCAGTATTGGAGGACTGGTATCATCGGGAATACCTACTGTAAACACGCCAATTGTATCAATGCTTTAGGGTTGCTGCAAATTCTGTAGTGTCATTTTCAGTCTGTAGTTATATACTGGCGCGTAATGTTTTGTATCATCGATTGTACTCATCGAAATGGCACACTGTAATTAATACCTTTTACAGCTGTAATTTGTAACTAATTACGATGCGTGTCAGGTTTGAAATCCCAAACTACTCCTTTCTTTTCACTATACTCATACCCATTCCATCAACCTCCCCTACCGCATTCGTTCATCACCTATCAGTACCTTACCTCCCTCTTCTATTTTTTAACTCACTGGCTAAATCCCATATCTCATAGAACAGCCAATTAACTCTACCTTCAGTAGTAGTATGCTTCAAAGAGTGAAGACCTGGCTTAGGAGCACTCTGGGAGAGTAAAGACTGACTGGCTTATGACTGATGAGCGTGGATCAAAATTTTGTGAAAGAACACTATGAAATGGTGAAAAGAAAGTTTTAGAAAAATTTTCGGTAAATCAAAGAAGTTATTATTAATATAAAATTCTAACTCAGTTCACTACATGGTAGGTAGTAGTTCCTTATACAAAGTGATAGAATGTAGCATTAGTATGCTAATGAATAATAAAACAATTTTTAAATAGTTTTCACTTTTATTTTGTAAGAAATCGACATGTTTCACTCTGTGTTGCGGCTTTTTCGAAACTAATATGAGTTGCCCCACTCTAATTCAGATTTTCGGTACGCACTTGGGCCCTGACAGGATGATGTACCTTCTTTTCATAAAATTGCAATATTCTAATATTTTCGTGACTAATATAAACTATATAATTTAGAATAAACTTTTATATCTTAATTTTTTATTTATGTACGGAACTCAAAAAATACTTAACCTGGATATATTAGTTATTCAGTCGCATTGAATGAAGTTGTTATAAACAGGATTTAAATAAGTTGTCCAACCATGTAAAAAAGTAACATATCACGGAACTGACGTTTGGGCTACTCTAAATGCATATTAATTTAAAATATATAAATTAATTTTGTTAAAATTTTTTTCAGCGTAATTCCCCACGCCCAGTTAAGAAAAATGAAAAATGTGATGAGAAACGTAAAACTTCTAAAGAGAAAATTGAAAAAGTGAAAGGAAAACTTTGTGGTATTTGGAAGATTTTCAAGATGCAAACCACCCTGAATGGTCCTGATTATTATTCTCGAATCTTATTTCCAACGGTTTTTTTATTCTTTTCTTCCAATTATTGGTGGCATTATTTAAGTTTCCGCAGAAAAATATTAAACGATTGAAATCGTTATTTTCATTGACGTATCAATAACGATTTCAAATTGTTCTAATAAATTGTGATTCTTGAATTTCCATTCTTTATAATAATCTTTGTATTATTAAGTACAGATCGTAGGATAAATGTTTTCCACGAGTCACCTCCCAACTATTCAGATGATATGTTGATGATTCAATTTCTTCACGCATCTTGCAAGATCACGGGGTCATTCATGCCTGCCAACTTCATGGAAAAGTCTTCATCAAATTGCACTGATATCTCGCATAAACAAAGTAAACCAATGAAAATTAGGGATGAAAATGATGTATATAGGCTTATAAATACTGCTTTAAATTAAAACCCTTCTCTGAAATGTAAATATTTTGCATTAGGATTGTAATTATAACTTATGTTGTACAAGTTATTGTTAAGAATGAATGTAATATTACTCAGATATTATTGTTTTGTGAATTTGTCATTGGAATATTATGTAAAAATTATTTTTAATTAAATACGTATAATTTAAAATAATGTGTATAGTAATTTTTGTTGAATAATAAATTTTTAAAATAATTATATTAAAAGAGGAACAAACATATGAAAATTAATCTTTGTTACATGAAGTCAATTTTATAAATTAATTTTTATATGCAGAGTACTAAGG